TCCCTCAGGTGTGGGCTGGCGGCCGGCCGGAGCTACAGCGGCGGCGGCGCGTACCCCAGCGTGTCGCTGACGTGCCCGCTGCCCGGCGTGCCCAAGGCCGTGTTCGCGGCCGCCGAGAGCCGGGAGCGCTTCGAGACGCGGGTGACGGTGCTGGAGAACGGGCTCCGCGTGGCCTCCCAGAACAAGTTCGGGCAGTTCTGCACCGTGGGCAGTGAGTACCGGCCGGGCCCGGGGACACCGCTGTCACCTCAGCTGTCACCTCAGCTCCCCCCGAGCCGCGGCTCTGCTTGTGAGGACTGAGGGTGTGTTAAAGTCCCGCTGGTTTATTCTCTTCTTTCCCCCAGTTCTGGTAAATTCGGGATCAAGACACGAAGCCAAATACCTCAGCGGGATCTCCCACTTCTTGGAGAAACTGGCGTTCTCTGTGAGTGCTGCCCTGGGCTCCCCAGGTGTGCAGGGGCAGTGGGGGAGAGCAGCCAGGGAGGGCCTGACCCTATGCCCTATGCAGGGCTCTCTGCACCTGAGCTGTTAAAACAGTGCTGACAGCATTGATAGAGCCACAGAATCTTAATTGCTCACTAATTATCATGACTATATTAATGATTGTAATTATATTTTGGAGGTCTTTGTGGTTTCACCTCCAAGGCTGGCATGTAGTGATCAAGCTGTTTGACTGAAAGAATGTAGAAGATGCTCTAGGTTACACTCAAGGGTTATAAACAATTGTTGCTTTACTAATCAATAACAATGGTATCTTCTTCCTCAGTCCACAGCTCAATTTGGCAGCAAAGATGAAATTCTCCTCACCTTAGAGAAACATGGAGGCATTTGTGACTGCCAGGCATCGAGGTGGGTGCTGCTTCTCCTGCTGTTACCTGGCTGTTGTAGCACTTTGAATCTCTTTTTCTGGTGTGGGGCAAGAAAAGCCATGTTTTATTTCTATGCATTAGAAATCTGTTTGTTTGTGCTGCTGGGAAGCTACAAAAGTGAGCCTGAAAGTGCTATAAAATTCAGATTTATTTCTTTTCAGAAGCATTTAATGATTAAAACAGCTTAATCTGTGATTTCCTGATACTGATATGATGCTGAATGACCCCAGAAATGACTTCTCAGCACAGAATCTGGTTTTTGTGTTGCAGGGACACCATCATGTATGCAGTGTCTGCTGATGCCAGGGGACTGGACACCGTGGTCAATTTGCTGGCTGATGTAACACTCCAGCCCAGGTTATCAGGTCTGGCAACACAATCCTCTGCCTCAAAAAAAAAACCCATTTCCAACACGTGGCTTGCTCTTAAGAGCTCAGAATTCTCTCAGAAGTGACCTTGCAGCAGCTGGGTGTTTTGTGGAGGGGTTGCCATCCTTTGCTTTGTTTCATTGCAGATGAAGAAATTGAGATGACCCGAATGGCCATAAGGTTTGAGCTGGAGGATCTGAACATGAGACCTGACCCAGAGCCTCTCCTCACAGAGATGATCCATGCGGTAACACACTGGGAATTCCACCCTGCACGCAGCCTCCTGCTGCAGTAGAGAAATCTCATGTTTTTTTGGCAGCTTCAGGGTTTATTTTAGGCTGTTCTAAAACCAGATGTTTTCTTATTCAGTTTCTGTGGTGAGAGAATTTGGCTGTCTCTTCACTCTGAAATCCAGCATTCTCCACATGTGGAAGATTCTAACCCAAACTAAAAAATAACTATCTGTAACTTCCTTTTGTTGATGTGGGTTACAAAATGTTACTGAGTTGCACTGACAATAGTGAAATAATGCTCAGCTTTTCCTCTCTCAGACGTGGGTTAATTCCAAAGCAAAAAGAGGATTAGAGAGGGATTTGGGGAAAAATGAAGTGATCTTTGTGATTTTAATGTGTCTGTTCCCTTTTAGGCAGCCTTCAGAGACA